CCACAGATAGCATGAAATTAATAATTTAAGTTTTATTATAATCCTATATAATAAAAGCCTAATATGCTAAGTGTCTGGTCATCTGGTCTTCCATTCAACCAATCAAAGCATAATACGCTAATTATATGCTAAGGTCACTCATAGCTCGCTATGACGTGCACTGACCACCAGGGGACAGTCAATGGTAGGTTAGCTTGCTGCTGGGGTGTGGCCATTCTGTACTGAGACAGGCCAGACATGCCCTAGAGCCTTCCTGGGGTCCCTCCTCGGCTGGCCAATCTCCTGCAAACCTCTCCGACCCTGATTGTGCACCAGTGGGGAGGGCTTGGCCTGTGCACTCTTGTAATCTGGGACCCTTGGGGGATGTCGGAGAGCCGGTTTCAGACCAAGCCCACTCAATGCAGGAGCTGTCCCCTGGTGGTCAGTGCGCTCCCAGAGAGAGAGCACTACTCAGCCAGAAGCCAGGCTTACATCTGGTTTGGTTCCTAGTCGGGCACAGGCCTGTGTTTCTAAAAGAGAGTAGATCTTTTTTAAAAACACATTTTTATTGTGTGTTTTTTGTTTGTTTGTTTGTTTTTGTAGAAGAGAGAGAAAGGCAGGGAGAAGGAGAGAGAGAAACATTGATTGGTTTTGCACCCTCCCGCCCCAATGGGGGATCGAGCCCGCAGCTTGGGTATGTGCCCTGACTAGGAATCGAACTGGTGACCCTTTAGTGCATGGGACAATGCTCAATCAACTGACTCACACTGGCCAGGGCAATTTGCTAAATTATTAAAGTTTGCAGCGTCTGCACTCTTGAACATAGAAAAACCAAATTTATGAAGTCTCTCAGAAGCTGTTTTTTAATGAGGAGAACACAACAAGTTAGAGGACAAAAATGAAATTTTAGAGCTGTCAGATCTGGCCTAGAAGCATTCACAGGAAAAAGAATATCGAGGGGAATAGGGAAAACCTAGTAGAGGATAGGGATTAGTCTTCAAAATAAAACCCAAACAAAACATGTTCTCCCATTAAAAATAGAAAAGAAAACTCTGTTAACTAAGAAGCACAGAGTATGAACACAGGGTATGAACACAGTAAATTTCCCAGGAGAGGCAGGCTCCCATTCAGGCTGTTGCTCAGGGACGAAACAGCGAGAGCCACCGATGGAGCATGGCCCCTCTAGAGCCGCGGCCATGCTTCATCAGATTTCATTTCAGAATCACCTGAGAACCCTTTTAAGAAACTCTGATTCCTGGACCCAACCACTGAGCTTCTGATTTAACTGGTTTGAAACGGGCCTCAAAAATCACATTTCTTAAAAACTGGGCAACCAGGGTGGGGAAGCATTGCTTTAGAGAGGAAGAGTATGGAGAAGTAGAGCTGTCACGCATCTGGAATAGAAAGTGATGACTCTGGGCAGGTCATCAATTCCTCTTCCTCTATGTTTCTATATTTTCAAAGGCAAAATGAGAGCTACCAAGGCTGCTAGGAACAGAAAAAGAAAAATGGCCGTGAAGCACTGCACTGAGTCAGCGTTATACGGACATTTATCTATTAACACACCACTAGGACCTTCAACCTTTCAGGTCGGGTTTGATATTCTGTACAGAACTACCCCCACACAAAAATTAACATGAGCCAAGTGAAAACTCACATTGTCATGCTAACAATGTATCTAAAGTAAATTAAAAAGGTAATTAGAAAAGATGGTGATCGCCCTCTAATGGGAAATGGTCCCAGAGAGATGGACTGCAGGAGCCAAGGTCCTTCATTCACTCTCATTTTACCTATTACTATGTTCTCAACTATTTAACCAACATGAAAGGACATTAGATCTCATTCTTCTAGAGCAGGTGGAATTCTGGGCCAGAAGTAATTTGGCACCCCAAATTTTTACCATCTGAATAAAATGTATCCTTTCATTTCAGAGCTCTTTTGAAAGGTCTTCAGGTCCTAAATAAACTATCCTGCCAAAGCTGGATCCTCCATTCCTTCAAGGGAGATGTCTCCAGCACCCAATTTATTGTTCTTAAATATAAATTTATAATAAAACATCAATTAGCTTATCCTGATAGATAATTAGAAGGCCAAGTCAATGTCTGAACAAATTTCAAAATGAGTCTGGTTAAAAGAAAGGAGTGTCTCCTAATGCAAACACCATGCTTCCAGGACCAGCACAAAAAATCCACCTAAACATTTGCAATCAATTTTCTGAAATTTTAAATTCCAGCAGATCTGAGTGGTATATGTACTGTCATCTGTCTCTTTCCATTAATGATGAGTCTTTCCCTCCAGCCAAGGGAACACCTGCTCTAAGGACAGGCTGGACTGAATTCAGAGAGGCTGACACTTTCTCTCGGAGCCCAGCTGCTCCCAGTTGCAGCTCACAGCCTGGTTCAGAGGTCTTTTTAGCTTCCTGCCACCCAAGACAAGGAGGAAAAAGTCTGGCTGATGAGAATTTCTTTCTACCAAGTTGGGGCAATGCTATTCATGCAAGATTTCCTGCACAAAAACTAATAACTAAGAAATCAGATAAGTATAGTATTAGCCATCCTATTTCTTATTTTCAGTTATCCAGCCTTGCACATCTAGGACAAGCTTCAGTTCATGAGGCCAATGAGGTTAAACAATTTGTCTAATGGCCACGGAAACCTGAGGCAGAGTCTGAATTCAAGTCTTCTAGCTCCATGTCTCCCATACTGCACTACCTTGGCAATCTCTCATGGGACATTTTTAGTGCTGGGTCAGCTTCCTGGTGATGGACAAATTGGCAATCATTGTCCAGTGAAATGAGCATTGGGCTGAGAATGAGAAGACATGGGTTTGCTGGCATTGCTCTTCGTGTGTGTCTGAGATCTTTAAGAGGTCTGACCTCTTAACTAATTTCTGCTTCAGTGTGTCCTTCCCACTCCCTGGCAACTAAATCCCCAGACGCTGACTCAGTTCTACCATCTGCCTCTTCTTGTTCTGGGCGGAGCCAGTATTGAGAGGCATTAGAGGGGCTGATGAGCGCCACTAGAAACCCATGGTCTCCAATCGCAATGCTGCTCAAAAGATGCTCAATCATCTCTTCCTGAATTCTCTAATAATCTTAGGATCAGTCTTTTTGCTTCTATACTTGTTTCCTTCCAAATTATTTTTCATAAAGCAGACAGAATCATCTCTTTAAATATACATACAACCATATCATTTCACTGCTCACAACCCTTTAATAGTTTCCCATTGCACTGTGAATAAAATCCAAACTCATCCCATGCCTGTGAGGTCCGGCATGTTCTGGCCCTCATCTCCCTCTCTGACTGCATTGCAGTCCATTCTCCTTGCTAGTAGCTTCCAATCACAGCAGTCCTCTTCAGTTCCTTACCCATGCCAGATTTGCCTCTCCTTCCTGTTATGGAATGAATGTTTGTATCCCCCTCAATCTTATACATTGAAGCCCTACCCCTCAGTGTGGTTTTATTAGAAGATGGGCCTCTGAGTAAATAAGGTTAAGTAAGGTCCTAGGAGTGGAGCCCTGGTCTGAAATGATTAGTGTTCTCATAAGACACTCAGAGAGCTAGTGTGAGCACTCCGCTGCTCCTTGCCTCTCTGTGCAAACACCAGGGAAAGGCCGTGTGAGGACACAGCAGGAAGAAGTGTCTACAGGCCAGGAAAAAGCCCTCATAAGAAACCCAATTTTCCAGCGCCTTAATCATGGACTTTTAGCATCGACTGTGAGAAAAGTTAATTTCTGTTGTTTAAGCCACCTAGTCTGTGGTATTCTGTTATAGCAGCCCAAGCAGACTTCTGTATTGCCAGAGTTTTTTAGAACATGTGCTATTTCCTTTCAGGAGCTTCCATTCCCCTCTTCTTCCTTTCCTTCTTCTTTCTCTACTTCTTAACTTCTCATCTAACATGTCCTCTACCAGACCACTCTAATGAAATAGCTCTTCCAAAGGTCACTATTTATTTTACCAAAAAAAAAAAATTATTACTATTTTACCAAAACCAATGGACTTTTTTAAACATATGTTATTTGTTTTAGAGAGAAGGGGAGGGAGAAAGAGATAGAAACAGTGATCAGCTGCCTCCTGCATGATCCCCGGTGGGAGTCCACAACCCAGGCACGTGCCCTGACCAGGACCTCTTGATGCATAGGTTGATGCTCAACCACTGAACCACACTGGCTGGGCCCAGTGGATGTTTATCACCTTATATTACTGGGCCATCCCCATCACATGTAACACTGTAGACCACTCAGTTCCTGAATCCTCTATTTCCTTGGCTTTGATTTAATTACTTTCTCTAAATATTTCCTCAATATTTCCTTCCTGAGCTACTTAAATGTTAGTATTCCCCTGGATTTTGTTCTTGGCCCACAATTCTTTTCTATATTATACTTAGGTATCTCCTCCGTTCTCCTTGCTCTCTCATTGTGTACTAATAGCCCTGCGCCAGACGGTCGCTGCCGCCCTCAGGTAGCTCTCTGCTCGCTGCTCCACCTCATAGCTTGGTGCCCTGCCCCTCCTGTAGCTCTCCCTGTCCCCCCTCATAGCTTGCTGCCATGCCCCCTACTGTAGCTCTCTGCCACCCACTTGTAGTTTGCTGCCCCACCCTCTTGCAGATCCATGATCTGGTCATTACGCCTCTTGGCATAATGGATAATTAGCATATTCCTCTTTTATTCTATAGAATTGATGATTCCCAAATCTATCTCATCCTCTAAAACAGATTTCAATATCCAACTGCCTGCTAATCAACTCTACTTGGATGTCTATAGGCATCTTACACTCAAGAGAGCTACAACTGAACTCTTTATCTTCTCTATAAACCAGCCTCTCTTTTTAAATTCTATCTCAGTTCATGGTGTCACTCTTTGTGCAAATAATAAACCTAGTGTCATTCTGAGCTCTCCCTTTCTCCTCATTCTCTGTTCACTTTTTCAGGTGCTAGAGACGAATTAGTTGTAACCTTTGGTCAGTGACACCGTATGTTTCCACGGTTTGGCTCTTTCTCTTCCTCTGGGCAAGGATACCTACCTTTCCCTCTTTGAAGTGCTTCTTGAGCTGCTTCTGCATGGCAGTCAGCTTCTTGGACTGCACCCCGCTGTAGGCCAGCAGCATGCCACCGAACTGCCTCTCAGTAATTCTCCCATCCACAGGGTCATGGCGTTCAAACTGAGAGGGAAACAGAAAGAGTGTTCTTGGGGTCAAATGGCAAGTATTTTGATATGGAATGTGGAATGATCAACTGTGTTGGATGGCAGAAAATAGTTGATGGCCAGGACTGTATTTCTGAACTACAATTCTCACTGAGATTTGAAAAAATTAATCAGAAAGAGAAGATCTGGTTTCTTCTCCAACTCTGCCACTGAATATTTATGTAATCAGGAGAGTAACCTAGCCACTCTGAGCCTCAATTTCCTCATAGATAAAGCACAGCTGCTGTGGCATCTCATATATACCTTACAGGTTAAGGAGCATGTTTGCAGAGATCAAAACAATGTTAAAACTCTATTCTAATTCATGAGTAATATCATTGGTAATAAGTAATTTTGGTCCATCTATATCCTTGCTACTCAGAGAAGACTTAAAATATAATTATTATATATTTGATTTATTATACACATATAAAGTCATATCAGTTCTTCAGTCTGTATTCAGGCCTTTAAGAATTTCAAGTTTTGCCCCAAATGGCAATCAAATGATAGGACATCAATAGAACCTGAAAAAGAAATGTATAGAGTGCCCTAACTGGTTTGGTTTACTGGATAGAGCGTTGGCCTGTTGATTGAAAGGTCCCAGGTTCGATTCCGGTCAAGGGCATGTACCTTGGTTGCAGGCACATCCCCAGTAGGAGGTGTGCAGGAGGCAGCTGATCGATGTTTCTCTCTCATGATGTTTCTAACTACCTATCCCTCTCCCTTACTCTCTGTAAAAAAACAATAAAATATATTTTAAAAATGTATAGAATATAGAATATCTTAATTAGACATGCTTACTTACCATAAAGCTACTGAACATTTATCAAATGTATTTTAATATTCAGCTGGAAAGGTTAAGTATAAAGCACCTCCAGCTAATCTAAGTAATATCACAAAACTAAGATTTTAATATAAAAACAGAGACCAGAAAGTTATCTCAATGTCAGCTGCAGTGTTAATGATATTTATAAATGCATAGATAATAATCTGGCTAAAGATGGGCCCAGAAACAAATTAGAAATCAAATGATTTGAAAATTTAAAATTTCCCCAGGGATTTATTGGAAAATAACAGTTACTAGGAAACTTTCAGATTCCTATGTGGTGAGACATAATCCTGTTTTCATAAGAGGGCATGTATACACAGACATAGACATTGCTAAGTAAGGTCATATCAACAAACATTCAAACATTTCCCAAGTGTCTGCTAGCTGTCTAGCATTGTGTTAGCCTTGTGGGGTAAGGAAAGATGACTCAGTTTCTGTGCTTAGGGACTTCCCCATCTAGTAGGGAGATAAGTATATAGTCAAAAGTGAAATTTTCTTTTGGTCCTCAATTCCTCAGTTAGCTTGTAAGTTGATAGACACCTTAATTTATTTCCTCCGTAGTGAGACAGTCAGTGAGCAATAGACAAGAACTGCATTTTAACAATAGCAACCATTTACTGAGCATGTACCAGATTCTTTACCCATATATTCTTTCATTTCGTCATTATAACACCCTATGGAGTAGATATTATCAGCTCCATTTACAGATGAGAAAACTGAGGCAACATGAAGGCGTGGGATTCAAACTGAGCTCTGTCTGGAACCAAGGAATGTATCCCACTATCACACTGTTTCATCCTTCTAAGCAGTAATACAAAACTTATGCAACCAGGGAGCTAAGTCATATTTAAAGTGAGAGGCAAAACAATTTCCGAGGAAATCAACACCATCAATATTAAGTGGAAGTCTCTTTTTTTAACTCAGCCACTCAATATTTCAAGTTTGTCAGAGCATCACTTCTGATTAATTTCTGACACCACCAAGAGTTTTTAGGATTCAATTTAAGTCTGATTTATGATTCAATTTATCATCTTGAAGCAAAATGGAGGACTAATTTTGCTAATGGGCATACTTTCTACAATGTCTAAGTCAGATTTTAGTGAAATGTGATTCCCGGGCAAAAGTTGGAGACGCATAGTCTTGTATGGGCTTCTTTATGGCAAGTGGAGCCAGGCTGCGATTTTGCCCTCCAGGCTGGGCTCTGCCGATTTAGGGCCCTCATTTCACCCTTATCTGGAGATGTCACAGCTGAGGAGAAATCCCATATATCTGAATTAGATGCGTTTTAAGCTTTATTCCACAAGATAGATTCAAGGTTGAAATGTTTCTTGTTTTTAACAGCGGCAGCAGCAGCAGCTTGCTCAAGGCTTATGGAAATAAAGGCCTGTATTCTTCTGTTCTCCAAAGGGACATAGCATTGCACCTCTATTACGTTTCAAAGACAGAAAAGTCCATTTGCAGTGGAGATGCTCATGTAACAGTGCCATACTCAAGTTAGCATTTTTACTAGTGTTCTTTGAAAACAGACATGTCTTTTTCTCTTAGGGTTAGTTGTTACTATTTTGATGTAGCTGGAACCTGAAAGGGCTTAAAGAATATAAAATTCAGCCCGGGCCAGTTAGTTCACTTAGAGCATTGTTTCCATATACCAAGGTTGTGGGTTCAATCCCCAGTAAGGGCATGTACAAAAATCAACCAATAAATCCATAATTAAGTGAAACAACAAATCAATGTTCTCTCTCTCTCTCTCTCTCTCTCTCTCTCTCTCTCACTCACTCAAAAAAGTCAATGAAAAAAAAAAAAAAGACTGTAAAATTCAGCTCCATGTAGTGGGGTCACTGGAAAGTTGACTACCTCCTCTGTAATTTGATCTGGGCAGCACCTCTCCTTTTAGGTTTCCAGGCTCTTTTGAGGAAAGACGGCCTTATTTCTGAGGTCTTCAAAATGGCTGGGGATGGCAGGGAGAGCTCTTTTTCTTTCTCTGCAGAACTGCTAATGAAAAATGATCTAATGTGCTATTCATTCAACATTTATTAACTGAGGACTTACTACACTAAGGCTAGGGAGCTTCAAGGACCTTCATTAGGGCTAAATTTTCAAGGGTGGCTCGAGATGAAGTGTGTACCATAAGCCTGTGGGTATATTCCTGGAGCACAATATGTATGTGATCCCCAAGGTCATAGAGGGTCTTTGGGGGAAAACCACATGCTATTACAAAATTATCACAATGCAGAAAGCTTCTAATTATATATTTGGAAGCAATTCAAATGACTGGTTTGTATTCTAAGTAGCTGAACACTGAGAAAGCCTCTTTATGTTCCACTGCAATGGCAATGAAGGAGACTATCCCATGTGACACTAGGGCACAGCACCCCCCCTCTCCCCCCCTTCCAGGGCACCACTAGCCATCTGCATTGCTTTTCTGCGTCCAGGAGAAGCTAGCATTTTCTCTTCCGCAGCCCTGCCACTCTCTCAAATGAATACAAGCTGTTGTTCCCCAGGGAGCTGCAGGGCAGGCACAGGGGGCCGGGGAAGAGGAGCCAAAAAACTGTCTGCAAGATTTTTCCTGGCTTTCTGTCATGTTGTGCTTCTTGTTCCCACCCTTGCCCCTTGCTGAGAGAAGACTGCCTTTTGGAAGGACAGATGGTCCACAAATATCTAGATCAGCATTTTTTAACTGTTATGTTGCAAGAATTTTTAAAACATGCAACACCTGACTATTTATTTAGTCAGGGGCACTGACCTCTTTTCCCTTAGATTGTCAAATTTAAAAAATGACAACAGCCAACACAATAGTCACTCAGTGTGAATGAGTCAAAATCATACCTAAGTTTTTGGTCAGATTGGCAAAGAAATATCACTTTTTTTGGGTGTGCTACACAGAATTTTAGTATTATAGTTTATGTGTGCCATGAGACAAAAAAGGTGAAAATCACTGATCTAGATGAAATGATTTAAGGAAGATGGGAAGCCAGGAAGAGAAAACACACACACATGAATTATAAACAAAAGTCAAAATAAGATTAAAAAAGTAGTAAAAGGAAAAAAAAATCAGTGTCTACAAGTGAGTCTTCATTTATTAAAGACTTTTGAGGTTAACATATTCTGACAAATGTATTCTCTTTTATGCAATTTTTTTCTGGAGACTGTCTATCCTTCAGAGTAAATCCTGCCCTTATACAAGTATTTCAGAATGATAATTTTCTTGATAGCCTTTTACTAGTTTATGAACTGTGCAATTCAAGTCCTTGAGATGACTGAACACCTCTTTATTTTCTACCTGACAGTATTTGGCTTTTGAGATCTTAGCCATGCCATTGCTGCTATTACCAGGAGTCTCAGAGCAACTGTCTGTTATGTCCATCAAAAGGAAAAATGAATACAGGGGCAGGTCTCTACTGCAAACCCATCCAGTGGGCATGACTTACACACGCTAGTTTGAATATGAATCTCTGTCTTCAATTGGCAGGGGACATGAGAGAGCACCAGGCCAAGTTGCCTGGAGTCTGAATTTTTTTGCTCTCTAAATAAAAGATGTATCTTTACTGTCAACACTAATATGGTTGTCTTTTGGCTAACTGGTGAGCGAAGGAAAAAGGTTCATCATTTAAAATTGAGACAACATGGTTCAGTGTCCTCAGCTAGGTCCAAAACAACCCATTAGAATCTGGGACCGTGAGATTATAGATGACCAAACTGAACTGCTAGACTTTTCTACTTCAAATCCAAGGATACTTTCCATTTAATTGTTTTTAAGAAAGTTTAGGCTGATGATCAAATCAAGTTACTAAATGACATGACTATACAACAGTTAGTTAGACCCGGAAAAGGTTAACTTTTCAGTCTGATAGTCAAAAGCAGGAAGATAATAAGATACATGAACTTATTACAAGATAGTACAAATCAGGATATATTTGACTGAGGGTACCAGGGAAAAACACTTTAGAACTGGAACAGAGATTTCAAGGTTTGAAAATTTTCGGTTTTATTCCATGGAAGATATTACATTAAAGTGACCAACAATATGGGCTTAGAAACAGTAAGGCCTGGGTCTGAAATCTGGCTTGAACACTTAATTATCCTCTATTTGCGGCTCTGACTAGGCAAGTGGCTTACTCTCTCTAAGGCTTCAAAATCTTCCCACCAAA